TGAATTTATATTTTATCTAAAGAGGAGAATATCTTCGATGCGCGCGCAAGATTTTTTTGTTCCAATCGAGCGCGTTTTCCCGTGACACTAGCTCGCTTTTGTTTATAGACGGAGCTGGATAGTTCCGGGTACACATACAAGGCTACAGCCTGTAACAGTCTAGACCTACAGATGCAGAGCAAACGCCCTCCGTAGCTCGCTCTATCTCGATAGGCATATCATCGCCTCATCGTAGCAAGGACCAGGCTTGCTAACTTCGCCGGCTATCATAGACGGCTCCACCACCAGAATGAAGAAATACTTTGCAAATGTGGCCGAGAAAAGCGGCCATGGCATTTCGCAGAGTTTCGCCTAGCTATCCGAAAGCGGCGCATGGAAACGAAGAAAACCCGACTTTCCAGAAATTGAGGACGAAAACGAAGGATACTCGACAAACCATCAGGGATGTGATATGGTATGAAGGATGGTAGGCATTCTGGCGCTTCTTAACTGTAACAAAATGTTACAGCACGATTGAATCGTGAACAGGGGGTGTAAAGGTCAACTATAATGCTTCTCGGGGCCGTTCGGTGTGGTACGAGGATTAAGGTGTAGTGCCGGGCGAGAGCACCTTAGAAATGGTGGCTTTATTTGTTTTTAGTTTTGTGTTTCTAGGTTTCTGTGAAACAAAGATGTAGGGTGTGAAAAGTCTTTTTTTTTGCATCAGATTTTAGTTGCGTATGCAGCTATCTAGCTATGGTACAATATCAAAGAAAAGTACAGAATAGATGATTCAACGTAAGGGAAGAGAACTTATGCCTCGGATTTCACTTGCAAGTACCACTGCGAAGTTATGGCGGCTTTTTCTTCACCCCAAGTCAACTCTCATCCGTGAAAACCCACCCAGGGGACCATCTCAAAAACCCTGAGTTATCCAGACATGTTTCCATCATCCATCAACTTTTCTCCGCGAGATATGTGATCTGAGGTATTTCCTTCCCAAGTGGAATAGGTGCCCAGGCTACTCAGACTATACCGGAGAACACCACCAGGTTGCGGACCACAACACCTTCCATCGTTTGCTTGCTTCTATAGTGTCAGCTGCACTCTCGCAAGCGAAGCCTTGACACACACAAAGCTCAATTCGTAAAACTCTTGCCAAAATTCGGAATCTCACGCCCTTCGAGGTTATATCCTTCCTTCGCATCATCTTTTCAGCTTGTACTAATCCCTCTCATGCCTATCCCAAAGAACTGTCTCCCAGATTTGTGCGCCACGCTTTGTGTTCTCCGTCGGGTATAAATATCGGCGTGGGCGTATATTTGGTGATCAACTGAGGCCAGAGAAGGTCGAGGAGTGGTGTGGTCATGGGATGAGGATGTACTTGGTCGTACTTGTAGGATTGATGAGACTAAGGTAGGAGTTTAAATCGTTGGGAGCGAAAAACGACGTGGTGGAGTAATTTTAATTTTTGCCTCGTGGGCCAACTTCTTTGATATTGCGAAATTTGACTGAACTTGGCTCTGGGAGAATATTTCACTCCTGAGCTCGTAGAGGACACCGCGTATAGCTGTTCAGTCTTACCCTCCTGTGAAGAGTCATATAGATCTGGAATACTCGTGCCATGCCCTCTGGGTGCTGGGATAGTACCCGGTCACGATAAAAATATCATCAGCATCATTCTAACATATTAAAAACTTAGTCCTTGTATTGTGTAATGATCACTTTAAGGAGTTCTAATATAAAATATGGAAGGTAGACTTGTCTATGGAATCAACTCGTTGGAGGTATAAAATACTTATCCATAAAAACGGATCCAACACTCGAGATTTACATCTTGAGTGAGGGTCCGTGCACGCTAACAAAACAACCCAATAACCACGTGATAAACAAGCTAATTGTACAGGGTATCTTGCTCTCCGGTTCTCCTAACTCCTGGCTAATGATGACAACTCAGACCCATAATAAGGGTCATGAGGATCCTGGAATTGCAATGCATTAGACTTATTTCTCAACATAACAATTGTTATTCGCCGCTTACGTGAGCAAGGTTTGCCTGAAAATCTAGTGCGCTGGATCGGCTCTTTCGCCACAGGCCGCTATGTCCGCATACGCTTAGACGGAGAGACCGGTTCTTTGTTCAGTTTATATGCGTGCTAGGTACATATTACCCATCGCACTCCTAATGGAGCTTAAGCACGAGTGGGACCGGACTGGATCACGTTAACTACCATATAAGTACAACAAACCTTGTTTCATCTAAATGACCGGACAACCTCAGATTTCACCTATGTGTTGAATCATACCAAGCCTAATAGTCTAGAAACCCGCTGTATACACGCCGTAGCGAAAATTCCTCCTCAGCCTCGGCCACCACGCGCCCAAGCCCTTGACATCCTCATTGACTCCGAAATATAAGTGTAGTCCCAGATCTCATCGTTGCTCTAGCCTTTCACCTTCATATCGTACCGTTGGGTTGTTGTCGTCATTGAGGATTTGTGTTGTCTTCTCGGTGTATATTCCCTTATTCTCCTCCTTTGTACACTTCCACTTTCTATCATGACTTTCCTCTTTAGGGCAAGTGCAGGTAGGTGATGTGATGAGTATGGAGGTGGGTCGCAGGTGAAGACTTGACTGAGAAATGCTTCGTCATAAATATATAAGGGGTTTGAGAGATATAGTTTGTTTGAGTACGACCACCAGACAGACCTAGGCCTATTTTTGAATCGTATGTTGGTGGTGATGAGTTTTTGTTTGACTTTATTGCGGTTGTAAAATCTCTGCCGACTGATATTCGACCAAAATACCAAATACAACTCCTTCAAGCCGAAAATCCATCAAAAAAGTTCATCCTACCCTATTTCGTGACTGATTCTCGGCTCTTGAACAATTTTCACTCCCAGGTTCGTAAGTGACACTACTTACAAATGTTCAGTCTTCGTCCTGAATAGAGAGACCGGTCCTTTACAGGCAGTTGAATAGGGACTCCCATAGGGTTCACCAGCTTCTCCTGGGCTGCTGTAAAGGTTTAATGAATTCAGATGTACTTATAAGATGATAACTCGATAGGAACTAATAACTTCTTCCTTGGGAAAACAATCTACCACGTAGTCTCCCATCCCTTATATCCTCTACGTCGACTAGTCTTAACCCCCCCTCCCCTTGGCCACCTGAGAATCATCCTTTCTCCACAGCTCATCTCTTCTCCTGTACCCTACTACTCATCTGGTGCGTACCCCCCTCGATACCTTCTCATGCGCCCCATTCGCATTTCCAGCAGCGCTGCTTTGCCACAGCCAAATCTCAAAGACGGAGTGGCCCTAGTGACTAGTCCCAATCCAGGGAAAGCCCGTCAAATTGCGGTAGCCTTTATCATCTAAAATCGCTTTGTCCAGCTGTGCTTTAGGTCCCACTGCATTATTACTTTCATGTCGCAAAGATTATTAATCATGGCCTCATGGGGACCGATCCTTTGCTTGTCTCCAAATCTCTCCTCTTCTATCTGAGCATCAAGGGTAGGACTTAATCATTTGTTTGGGGTTCTGCGATTAGTAGCCATATAGATAGCTTGGGATATAAGCTCCTGTTACTTTTCTCCTATGTAAATAAGACTTTAGCTCCATATGATAGCTATAAATTTGCATTTATAAACTACTTTGGGCCCTCGTCAGGCTACGGGGAAGAGAAAATGGCGATTTTTAGAGACTGATTTTCAACCGTTCCGACTGTCGCATCCATAGAATTGAAGTGCCGTTCAGATTTCGGGGTCTGCGATAGCGAGTTATTGATGCAGTTAGATCCGGCTTTCAGTTGACCAAGATTTCGCCAATTCTTGATGTGCTACGAGATTTCCCTCCTAGTTCTGCTATCTTATGGGCTAGCCCACTCGACAAATTTCCACCTAATGTGCCAGATCTTTTGTCTCTTCATTCAGTAGAGTCTGTGATATTTTTGGTTGCTGGGTTGTTTGAGTAGCCGCCGTGTTGAGCCCTTTTTTACTTGAGGTGCATTTTTACCAGCACATTATCAGTTTCGTGTGAGAATTCTAGCGCCGGTTGATTTATATGCTCCTCTAACTACTTAAACAACTTCTTTGAATGCTTCGAATGGGTTTGAGTATTCTTTCAGATGTTTTACCACCTGGCCCAAATCGGCCTCGCTCGATATATTTCTATTAAGAATCCTCTTAAACTGCATTGTAGAACCATTCCTATACTATCATTATTTTAGGAAATCAAGATAATTTAATTTTTCATTCGTTCGATCGTTCAGATCACAATCTTATCCTATGGTAACCATATGCCATACTACAGTCTTAGGTCCAAAATGGCAATAATATACCACATAAGATCAAAATAGTCATTTGATACGCAACATTGCCGCTCATAGTATTTTGTACTATGTAGCATGTAGAAAACAACAGACATAAAATGTTATGGGTTCCTTTAACCATCCCTTGGATCAGAAGGTCCAACTGACCAGTCCATAATGAGAAAGGTATTACTTGTAAGCTGGACTGACCGAAGCCTACGTTGAATCAGTAATCAGCATTTCTTGATTCTTATCATTACACTCCATATTTAGCTGCAGGTTAAAACTAAGTAACTGCAACGGTAGAGGTATTTAGTTGACATAGTAATATGGTTTCCTGGGAATGAAGATGGCCGGTGTTATGAGTGGCAGTAGCGTCGAGCTAGTATAAGGAAGCATTTAGAGTGTTCCTTATTGATCGCAGAAGGTAAAGCTATATAATGTTAGATTCCTGTATCTTTCCATCCAATGCCACACCTGTCCAGTTTTTATCTCGTCCCGTGACTACAACTATCTTGCTTTTTATCTCGGTCCCTAATAAGTAGAATATCCCGATCAAGCTATCACTCAATTAATGATTTAATGTAATCATGGTAATTAAGGAATGAAGTTCAGCGCATCCAGGACATATTCACTTATGGTATTTTCTGTAACAAACAATTTTTGTTAGTGGGTTGACAGTTGTATAGTATCGCTGTATGTGGATTACGTTAAGCATCAGTTCCCAAAGGAATTATTTGACATGTGATTAATCTTCGTGTGCCCTTCGAATTGATATTCCAATATCGTGGCAAATTAACCATGGCTTTAACCTCACATCTTTTAGATACTACCATGGCATAAGGTTGGTTGTAATCAATAGGTGTTTCTAGTGATGGTTTAGTGACTGATAAACTCTTCATGCCTGACGAAGTGACAAGGTAGAATAACTCACCTTCATCGCTGTGTAAGCTTGGGGTTGTACCGTCTTTCATGACTGGATAAAGATAATCTTCATTCGTTGCGACAGGATCATCATTTAGCAGCCTGACTAGACTTTTGGAGAAGACAGTTTGGCGATGTTGTGTCATTAAAATCTGGCAGACCTCTTTGAGACTTGGACCAAAGTGCTTGAAGACAAAAACCTTATTCCTGCAGGAGAAGGCTTTGTGCATTTCTCTCTCGTGAATGTGGTCGCTTATATCGCCCCCCATTGGAACATTATCTGCTTTTTGGTTTGGAAGAAAACGACATACAATTTCTTGAATCGCTAAGCAAAAGAACGTAAACAAGGTCACAAGACATTGAAATTTCATGGCTGTAGGCAACGAAGATTTTGATGGAGAATAATCAAGCGGTGCGTGCTGACACGGGGAGCCGGGTTGAGGTAATGCTCGTAAACTATTTGTCTATCGACATGTCCAAACCAGGAAGTCCTAGAGATTAATGATAAAAGCTGCCGTCGTACCGCGAAATACGCAGTATAACAAAGCCCGGATGACCTTGAGACTGCTTCAATATTTTGGCCGACCCCATAGAATAAGTGGTTCCATGTCGAATGTTGATCGTGTCATGTAAATTTCTGGCCCCGCTTACCGTCTGCAAGACTGAGTATGGGCCCTGGGTGCGTCGTTTGCTGATGACCCTGAACGAGATATTATGGAAAAGCCTGCAAGTAACAAGGGGCCATGAGAGGATATCTAAGATTAGTTGACTTATATTGGTCAGTAGAGCTATTACACATGACCATTGCTTTGCGAAAATACTAGATGAATTTCTGGACAAAAGGAGCACTCATTCCCTCGATTCCTGAGACAATGCGCTGGGTAAGTCTCAACACCCGACTTATTCGCCGTGTGGACAAGCCTTGAACGCCTGCTACGCACGACTCTTAAAGATTCTTCTTGTCCTTGGCAGTCCAAATTGGTAGCCTTGACGGCAAAACCCGGAGAGCCTACTCCGGAATTAGGCCGATGATTCGGATAAGGATGATTGATGTAGTACTAGCTGACTGGGCCAGGTTGTTCCCTATACAATTTCAGTCTACAGTTATCCTCCGATATAAAATGTTGCTATCATGCTATTTTTGCTGTTACATTTGAACTGCAAGACTTTCAACCAAAAATAACTATCCCTGCACCTAAACATAAAGCAGTTAAGGTTTGAAATTTATTTCATTTATCACGTTCAGGTACCCTATGGGTCCATGCAGGTGCACATAGCAATAGTGTTTACATAGGAGGAAACCGATTCCATGAGAGCTCCCTGATTCTATCTGCCTTTTGTATCTCGGATTTCCAAGTTTTACATCTAGGAGTGCGTCTACGCTGTTTATCCAATCTGAATTCCGACCTATCCCTTTCCTGATGGCTTCATCCTTTTATTGACTGCTATCTCAACTTCTTCTGCAAGCCGGAACTGTTCAAGCCAACCGTTACTAATTATCTGCACTCTAATTCTCGTCATATCATCCGGGCTGCTCACTATAGCTTCAAAAGACCTATCTTTTGCCTGTCGCAACACCTCTTATCTTCGCTTAGCCTGCTGAGAACAAGCCAAGACCACATGTTTGACGTTGTGTGACGGATATCCATACTGATATTGTAGGTTTTCCGCTGCGAGTACCTTTCTTCTATTAAGATAGGAGCTGAAGCCGATATTCTCACTTCTCATCTGTGTTGCCATACGACTTAGGTCCCTACAAAGGTTTGGGTGGATGTTAGAGGGTGTGTTTTTGCATGTGATCCTTTTTCTGCCTGATCAATTTTCGGTAATGATGTTTGCTACCTACTAAATTCCTTTATCTCATTTTATTGTCCTATATGAGTTTATGACTATGTAAGAAATGCAGGTTCACTCTGCCTACAGGCCAAGGATAACTAAGCCAGTAGTATATCCCCTCTTATGCCTCCCATACAGCGCCCCTCAAAAAGTACCACCTCTCACAAGTCCTCATTCGATCATACACTTAAGGAAGTCCTTTGCCCTTCATTACCTCCCATCTCCAGCCAGCGAAATGATGGCTATTTGCGTGTGTATGCCAGCCAGGAAATTTTTCAATTTTCACCTGATGCTGGACTCTTCTAGTACTAACAGTAGGACTAAATCCGTAGGCATCGTGATCCTTCTGAAGCGTTCGAAGAGGCCGGCCAGCAAGGCGCTGTAAACCTGTGAGTACCTCAGGGGATTCATAATCTGCCTTTCTAGTCTCCTTCCAACTCCTACCCGAAGGTCGTGTTGAAATGTCAGAAGAGTCTTGACAGACCGTGATTTCTGTATGGTAGCTTAGCTCAACATCTTTTGTGCCGTTCAGGGCGCTGGAGAAGCCCGTTGACTCATTAACAAAAGAAGTCCTCCTGGCTAATTAGCCAAAATCTTGGTCTTAGCGCCCACAAAAAATCCAGAGCTGAAAACCCTCGAAAATGTCAGTCTCAGCATGCTCTTCAGAGACCTGTTCTCCCCTCACTCCAAATCTCAGCCGCATTTCTTCCTTTTCCCTCTCTCCAAGCAATTCAACAGAGCAAGCAGGATAAAAACCACTGGGTCCGGGATACCCTAATATGGGATTTACCCGATAGCAGTTGGTTGGGCTGACTTACAGGCCCAGTCTTGTAATGAAGTGGGATTTGGCAAATGAGTTTAGCTCTCGCACCAGGTAAGACAAGGGGACTATTCTCAACAACTGTCAGTGGTATCCCCTACGCACCTCCAGCTCTCACTGTAGAGTCTGCAGAGCCGAGATTGAGTAACACATTATCAACTTTGAGCTGAATTATCTCCCCCTCTGTCAAAGATATGCTTCCGATAACTCATAAGACCACCAAGACGATGATAATGGTGCTGGGAATGAGGAAAGATAATGCGGTACCAAACGCTACAACGATAGTCAGAGAAGCCCTCGTTATATTACAACATGTGCTACCCACCGGCGGGCGAACAAAAAGCCCACGAAAGCAAAGTAAAAGACACTTCACCCCTCAAGAAAAGCAGATTTCGACTCGTTAATAGTATCGTCCCTGCTAATCTATACCTCCGAATCTACTAGCCAGGAGGGCATCTGAAATACATGAGTTACTCGACAACCCCACGACCGTAACGACTTTTGGATGCAAGGCTAGGCTCCTTCACGACAGTCACTCTCGACCAAGACTTTTCTGACATCTTTTCACGACCTTCGGTTTTCCCGCGGCACGAATCTGGGATAGAGGAGATAATGACGGGATAACGGCTCCTCTTAGTGTGTGCTCGAATGAAGATCTGTGGGGGTATTACTGCTGGAAAGAAGTCGTGAGTGAGGCAAAGGAGGTAGTACACTACCCGAGGCATAGATACTCCCGGCCTGTAGGCCGAAAGGACCTGCATGTCCTCACGTAGTTATAGACCTTTTAGAACAATAAACAACCACTCACTCACCAGGTAAGACGCTTTGTAAATACTCATGTACAGTGCCTCTTGGTTAGAAAAGGTGAGACTAAACTGGGTTGTTTAAGGGTTGGGCCCTGTAGGTGCAGCTGGGCTAGCTCGTAATAGGTTAGACTGTCTCTCCTCATCACTCCGCAAGCCATGACATATGGTCCAATCGTCTTTTCGGAGGGCGAAGGCTGAGCACCCGTCAGTGGTGCCCTCCACGAACCTGGGAGCGGAATATTCTCCCAGAGCCGAGATTCAGTCACGAAAAAGGGTGGGATGAGCTTTTTTTTGATGGATTTTTGACTTGAAGGAGTTGCACTCGATATTTTGGTCGAAAAAGCAGTCGGCAGAGATTTCACAACCGGAACAAAGTTGAACAAAGACTCATCACCACCAACATGCTATTCACGAATGGACTTAGGTCTATCTGGGGGTCGTATTCAAACATCCGACATCTCTCAAACTCCTTTTATATTTGCGACGAAGCATTTCTCAGTCGATCCTACACCTGCGACCCACCTCCATACTCGTCACATCACCTACCTACACACGCGCTAATGAGGAAAGTCATGATGGAAACGGGACGAGTGCAAAAGAGGAAGAAAAGGGAAGATTCACCGAGGGGATTACAAAAATCCCCGATGACGACAACAACCCGACGGTACGATATGAAAGTGAAAGGCTAGAGCAACGATGAGATCTAGGATTACAAGTATGTTTTGGAGTCAATGAGGATGTCAAGGGCTTGGGCGCGTGGTGGCCGAGGCTGAAGAGGAATTTGCGCCATGGCGTGTCGACAGCGGGTTTCTCGACGTTCAGACTTGGTATGATTCAACACATAAGTGAAGTCTGAGGTGGTCCGGTCATGTAAGTGGGACGAGGCACTTGTACTTTACGGTAGTGTGTGTGTGTGTTTATTGTGCTACTTGAGTCTATGACTATCTAGCACATTGGGCTCCTCTCTAGCCCAGGCCACACCCCGTGCAGTGCTCCTATCCTCTTTTGTTACTTGAAAGATCACCGATATATTCCCCTTGATGAATAGCCATTCAGCTCAGTATTTACCCGTGGAATTCAGCCACCTTTTCCACGGAACCTTCTATCCAAAAAAATAAAAATGGTAGCAATGGAAACTCTGCGCGCGGGAAATATTTTCAAAAAACATGCACCCCCAGCCAGGCGAGGCCTAGACACCGGGTCCACACGAAGTACGTATATCCATTTATATATCCCTTCTTTTCAACAATCAAGGTGATCTTGATCCAATTCACCATCTCCGTATCGGGTGCTGGGTACGCTCCGTAAACTCATCGGATGGCTTTTCCTTCATGATCAAGGGTTGGTGATGAGTAGGGCTCCGACCCTACCATCTGATCTGATCTGATCTGATCTGATCGTGGTTAGCTTTATGATAATGGTGATAGGGGGGATGTGTTGAGAGATGAAGACGATACAGACGGCGAAAGCGATTGGGAATTCTCGTCGAAGTGAGGACTTTGTTACTCAATCTCGGCTCTGCAGACTCTACAGTGAGAGCTGGAGGTTCGTAGGGGACATCACTGACAGGTGTTGAGAATAGTCCCCCGCTTTACGGTAGTTAACCTGATCCGGCCCGGCCCCACCCGTGCTTAAGCTCCAGCAGGAGTGCAACGATAGTCACTTAACCGAGCACGTAAATGAACACAAAAAAAAGACTGTCTCTCAGATTTGTGCGCCTCTCTTTGATTCCTCCGTCGGGTGTGAATTTGGGCGTCGGCGTGTATTGGCAACTAGCGTGAGGCACGTATTTGGAGAAGCCAGGCACCAGATGGGCTTTGTCGGAGAATGGAGGAACTTGTATTCTAGATGTCCTCCATGCGTGTCGCGTCCATTGCACGGAGGGTGTAAGTCTGGCACGATAAATAAATCAGAAATAAATCTCAGACCTATCATTCTCACGCGAGTCCTCCACCTCAATCTTACCACACCACCTCGCCTCAAATACCGATCATAGCGTTACTCCAATTACAATTGGGCATTTGCCTCATCAAAAACCGTGCACCTCCCACTACACTTTTACGACGCTTTGTATACCCGCGAGGAGGAATTCAAGTCATTGTCCACAAAGCTTGGGTCTTGGTCTATGGGGGACCGTTGCTCTAACGGGGCTTCACATCTTGAGGGAGGACAGGCAGCTGGGACGTGGGACGAACGAGTGACGAGTTCACAAATGGACATGCTGGGACGCACATTGTTTGAGTATTTTCGATTTAAGGGTGTCTGTGGACGCAGAGGCAACGATTTAGGATAGTGCAACCGGCACTCTAAAAACAGGCAATGATGGAAGGTGTTTTGGTCCGCCTCCTGGTCTTTATCTCCCCGAATTAAAATCTGGGTTGCCTGGACACCTACCTCACTCGAGAAAGGGAGGACTGTGAGGCCATATTTCGCGCGGTGGCTATGTACAATATGACAAAGGCATGTTAGGGTAACCAAAGGTTTTTCCTGTTTTCCCTTTGGTGGATATTAACGGTTGAGGGAAGGCTGAAAGTCCCCAGCACCAAGGTCTCGAGTGGTATCAGCGAATTCACCCACTACATGAGTAGTCCAAATGTTAAACTGAGTTATCGTCGTATGTAGTCGCCGGAGAAGCTAGTCTTCTCCGTGTCATGCTCTTTGAGTGTAGGGCTTGTGCCCGTCACGAATAAAGTTTCATTCGTTTCATTCATACGTACGCGAGAGATATTCTTCAAAAAAACATGCAGCCCTAGCCAGGCGAGGTCGAGACATCAAAGCTACTCGAGATACGTACATCTATCATAACATTTTTCCTTTTAACTTTAGAGGTCAACTACATCAAATTCACAACTACCACCACATTGAGAGCTGGATACGCGGCAGGAATTCTTCAGATGTCTTACTATTCATGGTCAAGGGTGGGTGAAGAGCAGGGCTTCGACCTTGCCATCTGATTTGATCGTGGTGAGCCCTATAATAATGGTGTCAGGAGGTTGTGCTGAGATACGAGGGCGATACATGCTGCGAATACAATTAGGACTCCTCAGCAAATTGAGGAGGAAGGTGCTACTCAACCTTGGCCCGGTAGAATCTATAGTGAGAACTAGAGATTTGTAGGGAACGCGACTCACTTGTGTGGAGAATAGTCCCTCAAATGAACTGGAGGATTTGAATATCTATCATATTAATACATTCATTCATCATGTAAACATAGCGCCTATTATTTTTTGTAGCTAGATAGTAGAATATACGTTGAATGATCAAGATAAAAGACACAACACATCTTTCCGAGTACTACACAGCCCCGGGTAGCCACCATAACGTTAGACACTCGGGGCACAGCTCTACAGATTGACACAGATAGATATATCTTAATTCGTGACGGGCACAAGCCTAGCACTCATAGAGCATGACTTGGAGAAGTTTAGTCCTTCCTTGACGACTAAAAACGACGATAGCTCAGTTTGACGTATGGACCACTCACATAGTGGGTTAATTCGCTGATACCGCTCGAGAACTTTGTGCTAGGGACTTTCAGCCTTCCCTCAACCATTAATATCCACCAAGGTGGAACAGGAAAAATCTTTGGCTACCCTATCATGCCTTTTCCACCTTGTATATAGCCACCGCGTGAGATATGACCTCAGTTCTTCCTATCTCGAGTGAGGTAGGTGTCCAGGCTACCCAGACTTAAATTTGGAATATTGCGACCGGGAGGTGGACCACAACGCTTTCTATCGTTGCCGTTTTTTAAATCGTCGGCGGCGCTATCCGAATCGTAGCCCACAAACGTTGCAAATTTGAGAAACCCTCGTAAATGTGAGTTCCAGTATGCCCATTCGCGACCTCCTCACTCGCTCATCTCAAGTTCCAGCAATCTGTACTCTCTCAATTTTATAGCCACATTAGAGCAACAGCCAGCCATGAATCATGACTAGATTTAGGTGTATTATGACCTAGTTTTTTCCTTTCGGTTGTGCGTAGCATCATAAGTTTATTGTGGGTGATGACCGGTAATTAATGAGACAAGCTCCTTTTTGTAATTTTTGTGATTTTATCCGTCGTCGCGGCGGTGAGGCAAGATTTACGTGGTGGGCTGGCGTGAGAATGGTATGCCCATCATTGACGAGCAGTCGTCGATTATGAATACATTTGTGATTGATTCCGACCTTGATCTCATTACGATCAAACCCGCACCACTAGAAGTTGAAGAATTCGAATTCCCGGCTGTTGTATGTTGTGTGTTATGTGACATTCGGAAATCCCGATTGCGTAAGCAAAGATAAATCGGACAACATCAAGCACCTGGGACAAAGGTAATATTAGCCTGATTGTGTCTTAGAATGAATAACTATATAGCTTATAATCATTCAGGTAGTATTTCGTGTGTTGTTTTTTTTTTTTTAATTCATAGTGTAATCAGCTATCTAGCTATGACACATTTAAAATACATAAATCTAGCCTTCCCCTCCTTATAAATCACTACCCCTTGATTCCAAATTTATTATTTCCCAATTATTTGTCCTAATTTAACTCCCTTGATGTGCTGCCACGCACTTGGATGTATCCAAATATATTAAAAGTGCTTCCTTCCCTCTTTTTGTACAAAACAAGGTCGGAAGTGTTCTTGGCTCTGTGCCCTTGAAGCATCTGCTTCTCTGGTCTTTGAATTTTGGACAGTGTAACAACAGGTGCTGCACATTTTGCCTTTCTTTTCCACAAAAATTACATGACTTATCTTGAACCTTTCCTATCATGTGCAAGTAGACCCTGGTATTGCCTACTCCTAGCCTGGCCTGGAAAAATCCGGATTCTGTCTCCCTACTGTGTCTTTGAAATCCATCTAGTTTGTAAGAAAATTTTGGATGATTAGTCTGAGCCTGGAGCCTGTAGTACTTGCCAAGTCCTTTGGCCTTTCGGCCCTCCTCCTCGTGCCATAGCTCCAAGTCCCAGTCTTTTTGCCATGCCTCTAGCACCCATTCTCTCGCCTTTTGCTTGATGAAAGAGTGAGAGGTATACTGATCCCTTTTCATGGCCTGTTTCTTTCCACCTCCTCTGGCCAGCTTGTCAGCTAGCTCATTGCCTTCTATGCCAACATGAGCTGGACACCAGTGTAGGTGAACTTTGCATCCTTGACATATCATTCTGATCTGATGAGAGAACTGATTGCTATTGTGTTGGATTCGCAGGATGCTTGCCTGGCTATCAGTGAAAATATATATAGTATTTTTTGCAAAATATTTCTTCATGTATTGGGTAGCCCATTTCGTGTGTTGTGTGGCTGTCGGAAATCTCGATTGCGTCAGCTAAGATAAATGGCGGGGCTATGCGTAGCTTGATCAGTTCACACGCCAAATTTACGGCACTCGACCACTACCTCCAGCGTTAGTCACCGATAACTTTGATTGGGTTGTGATTCGTGGATAGCTCCATGAATGGATCGGATTCCTTACTATCCTCATCATTGATGATTCACATCGTGCGCACCTCAATCAACTAGATTCCTGCCACACCTGTAGCAAGTGGAAGCTTCCGAGTTTAGTCACAGCGTAATGAAAACGGTAAGCGGGAAATAATGAATAGATTTCGCTTGAAATTCAGTCATGTCGTAGGGATTCCACTACGCTACGCTACATTCCAAATTAAACCATCATAATGAGCACCGCGGCCCCAAGTCCGTACGAAATTCAAGTGCTGACTTCTCTCGAAACCCACGAGTTTGTAAAGCCGACTAAAAAGATCAATGACGAGCACGATGTATTAACCTTCCATACCTCGGAAGCCTACCGTGACATTTGCCTGCTTATCTTGCAGCTGAACATGGCCATGTGCCCTCGAAAGCCAAAGTCTACTCTCGGAAAGTGTCAAACTTGGGAACTTGATACACCCATTGAGTTACAGCGACCAGTACGTCGATTACAGCAATTATTGCAAAGATGCAACGAAATTATTGACGAGGTGCCGCCCGACACTGGACCTCGAAGATTTGGTAACGCGAGCTTCCGGAAATGGCATGAGATCTTGGAACTGCGAGCCCGAAGTCTTTTGCAAGAATATCTACCGCCATCAGTGCTTAAATGTGGCAGCGGTAGTGGCAATGGTGACGATGGGAAGGTTTCTGTTCTTGATGAACTGACGCCTTATTTCATGGGTAGCTTCGGCAGCTCACAACGGCTGGATTACGGCACTGGACATGAGCTGAGCTTTCTGGCATTTTTAGGATGTATATGGAAGCTTGGTGGCTTTAGTGATGAAGAAGCAGAGACTATAACTACATCGCGGAATATCGTGATTGGCGTGATGGAGCCGTGTGTATTTCCAGGTCTTCAAGATGTATCAAAATGAAATGTTGACGTGATGTAGCTATTGGCGTGTAATCCGACGACTTATCTTGACTTACACTCTTGAGCCGGCTGGGTCTCATGGAGTGTGGGGCTTGGATGATCATTCATTCATTCCGTATATATTTGGCTCATCTCAGTACTGCCCTGCTATTGATGAGAACGAAACGATGCCAGAAGAGGGCTCGTATCCAGATACGCCAAGCCCGACCAGCATTTCCAAGAAGCCTATTGTAGATATAGAAAGAGAGCGCAACATGTTTTTCTCAGCTGTAGGCTTTATAAATGATGTCAAGACGGGACCATTTTGGGAGCACAGCCCGATGCTATTCGACATATCTGGTATACGCGCTGGCTGGGGCAAAATCAACAAGGTTCTTAGAAGTGAAAGCATTCTTTGGAGATTTGGTTCTAAAGCACGCAGGGCATGATAAAAATGTACAACGCAGAAGTTCTATCCAAATTTCCAGTAAGAGGGATCATTTATCGATATCGCTCATACTCAAGGCAACTAGGTAATACAGCATTTTCCATTTGGCTCATTGTTTAGATGGGATCAGGAGCTACAAATAGAGGCTACCAATACACGGAGCTATCGGCCAAACATATTTCGAATGGAAGCAAGCAAGGAACCTCGTGCTCACGGCTTGTCGCAAACCGACAAGCAGACCAATGTAGCAGCAACATGGGTGTCTCCTGCGGTAAGCCGAGCAGGAGGAAGACAAAACTACTAGACAAGCAACACAAGGTGCCAAGGAGAAAATAGAGCACCGAACCACCTTGTGAAAACGGTGATGAAAAGATGGAGATGGAGATGGAGACGGAGACGGAGATGTAGATTCACATTGCATCTAAATGACACCAGGTATCAAGAAATACTAACCCTACTCAAGTTCAAAGAACTGTGGAATAAATCTTTGGTGACTCTGACTGACCAAGACCAGGGTAGTGGAAAGAAGGTATGGTACTTGAAATTGTCACTTTTGAAGCGTTTTCTACCATCCAAGAATCGACGGACAAATAAATAGCTCAAATGACACCATAAGTATTTAATACACCATCTTAGACCAATACAAAACCAAATATTCCGTATTTGATGTCAGACTGCTCCTAATTGAAAGATTTAGTGTCAAAACCCCACTCATCACTGACTCTTTGCCATCTAACTCGAACTTAGTTTGGAAGTAAAGGATATACGCAACCTTGATGTTAAGAGAACTGAGACACTACATGCAGTCGTAGCCTCGGACGCAGGCAATCTGCTGTGAGCCGAAAGACCTTCACCATGAAGGCTTTGAAGATTCGCGATATGCAGAGAGTATGGAATTGTTCATTTGCATTTTGTACAAAGATTTTTCAACACATTTTGTGGATGAACGAAGACGCATGAATGAAATGTAGCTTTTCCACACTTACTTCATTAATGGTGGTTATAACATGTCATGTGACTATACTTGTGGTCTCTTAATATCTAAGATTCAAAGGTGGATATTGGAAGTAAATATGTCGTTAATATTATATCACGACAGGTGCAACTGACACTATAAACATAAGTTAACGATGGAAGTTGCCGTGGTCCGCCTCTTGGTGGTGTTCTCCAGTATAGTCTGAGTAGCCTGGGCACCTATTCCACTTGGGAAGGAGACGCCTATACCAAATTTCGCGCAGAGAAAAGTAAATGGATGATGGAGGCATGTCTGGATAACTCAGGGTTTTTGAGATGTTCCCCTGGGTGGGTATTCACGGATGAGAGTTGACTTGGGGTGAAGAAAAAGCCACCATAAATTCGCAGTGGTACTTCCAAATTAAATCCGAAGCATGAGTGCACTTCTTTTACGTTGAATCATCTATGATATACTTTTCTTTCATATCGTTTCATGACTAGATAGCTGCATATACTATTAAAATCTGATACAAAAAACAGGAGTTGCCGAAGTGTATCCAGCACCCGAAAACCAATGGTGGAATGGATCAATTTGGCCCCAAATGTTACAAAGAAGGGAGATACAGTTGGATTTGCGCACCTCATGTGGCACCAGTGACTAGGTTTCGCCTGGCTATAATTGCAGATTTCACCGAGACTTTTTTCCGCGAACGCGGTTTCTATTATTACTCTTTAATTTTTTGAAGTGGGCGGCTCCGTGTAAAGGGTCACAAAATCCTACGGGTAAAAACTAAGCTGAATAGCTATCTATCGTGGGCAATAAATTAAAGATCTTTTAGACAACACAAAATTTTAGGGGCTCTATAAAAGATGCGGCCTGGTTGAGGGAGGAGGTCAACGTGCTGGATAGTCACAAACTCAAGCATTAAGATAAAATTAGACCATCCAAAGAAATTTTTTATCTTCTCTAAGGTAGATTTGCTCGTCAGATGAGACTCTGAGGATCTCGTTTTGAAATCTTTTACGCCACACAGTGTCTGACGTATGCTTGCCCTTGATAGTCAAAGACTCAGCGGGGTGTTGAATTGAATTCTTTCAACTTACACTCAAGAGGATGCATAGAACCACAATAAATATAATTACTAAATTCCCATATCCTATCAAATGAATTGGTATTTTCGGTTTTCATTCAAGTAAAGTTCCATCAAGCTTTTGAGCCAAGGATCATGTATTCCGACCTCAGATCTTCCGTAGAAATTCGCAGAAAGTCATCAAACTAAAGTAGTAGATCTTGCATAACTTGACCGAGTATGTAGAGTGAGCTAGATAGTTTGTGAAATTTTTATCTTGAAGGCTTCGTGATAATTGGATGACAAAATATATTTTTAGTGGTAAGGACTCAGAAAGTTCAATCAATTTCAGGGAGACACTAGGGATAGATTTATGAGTTTCTGATGTCGCATATCATGGAGTTTGATTACATACAAGATTCATGCCAACACAGGGCTCAACGTAATCAAGATTCAGTGAAAACTTGCCACATGGAGCAGAATAACAGAAATCCTATTAGTTAAACTCCGAAAATATTTTGTCATGTTGCGGCTAGATAAGCATTAGCGCTTTTTTCACTCGATAATGAGAGACAATCTATTGGAATGCAGCAATCATCATAACCGACAAGAGAATAAGTAGAAAAATGATAACCTACAAACACACTCTCTGTCGTCACAGAACGTCAATCATATGTTCTTGGCTTATTCTCTATGGGCTAAGCGAGGATGAGAGGTGTTGCGACAGGCAAAAGATAGGTCTTTTGAAGCTATAGTGAGCAACCCGGATGATATGACGAGAATTAGAGAGCAGATAATTAGTAATGGTTGGCTTGAACAGTTCCGGCTTGCAGAAGAAGTTGAGATAGCAGCTAATAAAAGGATGGAACGATCAGGAAAGGAATAGGTCGGAATTCAGACTGGATGAACAGTGTAAGCGCACTTCCTATAGGAAAGCTCGAAAAAACCAATTGACATAAGACAGACAGTTTTGGGGAATTTTTCTAAATTGGTTTCCTCCTATGTAAATGCTATTGCTAGATACACCTGCATGAACCCATAGGGTACCTAGACGGGATCAATGAATTAATTCAAAAAATAAAAGATAGTTTACTTTTATGTAATTACCGATCAACGAAATGTTAGAGACCTATTGGTTTCTCGCAATTTATTCCTATCACATCATGAAAAATAAGCAGTGGAATAAAGGTATATTTTAAATATCAGAAAAGCATGTACTAAATTCCTCGAAAACTTAGAATATACAGGAGTACTCTAAGTCATCATCAGCCAGTAACTCAGAAATTGTCAGTTGGAATAAACAGAAGATGATTAGAATCTGATAAAGCTTCTATGGTATACTAATGACTATTCCAAGCTTATTAGGAAGATTTTCGATGAGGATAGGCTCTACTCTAATCGTAAATCTTTTTCCTTGCTTCAAAAGAATTTTATTATTGGTATTTTTCGCATTTAAAATATGGAAAAGATTGATTGGCGTTGGAAAATTTCGCGGATGAGATTGGTTTGAATTTATCTCAATTAACGTCCTATACGGTATCTATTTGTAGAACCATGAGGACAGTAAGCCGACTTGGTTTGGGAAAAAGCTCTCAACAAACAAAACCCACTGTTTTGCCACTCTTAACCGACCCGGCTTAATGCTGAAGACGTTCCTTTCAGCCATATTTTTATAGAAATTCCGCAGATTTCGTGGACTCTCCATTGAATCAGACTACTGCTAGGAGAAATTGATTAGAGAAGGCATATACTCCCTCGGCGTTAGTCGTCGGAGTGTTAGAAGAGTCTGACACGATGGTAGTGCGAGTGTCGTGGGGAAGATTAGTGCCGCTGGGGCTTCAACAACCTCACGCGGTCAGTCCGGCCCTCTTTTTTGTCCTTCAGCCTTCTTACTGGTGACCTAATTATATCCCTGATCATCAATCATCTGAACTGTTTGCCTTGGCGCCATGGTTGGTTTTTCGTTCCATATTCCTGCCGTTCTCGATAGAAGCTCCATCCGAGCCTTCTCTACACTTCCCTTGTAGACCTGGTAGGTCCGACACGCTGCTTTCTACTATGAACAGTGTTTCTTGACGCAGTTAGCACAAGATACCCTTTTAATTAGACAGTCCCGAGTTTTATGAGCGCCAGAGCATTCACCGCACCTGGCTGCCTTTCCGAACGACACCTGTGTCCCCACTGGACGCAGTTGAGGCACTACTTCTATTAAATTCGCGGTGACCATATTTGCGCGATGAAGAGCTTTGCGTTAATTACTAGGCTATGTCGAGCCACTTTTGTTTGCGTTGCCTCCCATGGGATGCTGTCCACAATTAGTGTTTTATTGCGGACATTTTTAATTTATCGTTGCAGTCCTTCATAGTCTTAGACTTAGAAGGGACTATAATAAAAGTTCTTATCTTAATTGATCGTTGATGTTCCTTTCCATCGTGTAGCTATCGTATTCTATTAATTGTAAGGCCAGGAATACGAGCCCCAGTCACCATCTTAATCTTCCTAATGACGGCGTAGTTGCCAGCATCTCTGTCGCCCTTAATTCTTGTCCGCAGTGGGACTCCAAAAACCTCGACTGGAAGGTCTTGCCGTAAGGTTTTAAAGCCGGTTGGTTGTTACATGCCATGCAACGCGACCCTATGAATATACCTCAGTGTCGTTGTTACGCATCTGTCGAATTGCGTATGTGACTTCGATGTGCTCTTTCGTCCTTGATTGTAGCTCTTGAGACTGCAATTTTTCTGCTTCATCGATTCAAATTCCTACCGCTTTTTCATCATTTGCGGAGCTACGACAGATGCGTAGGTCCTTCGTGGCGGTATCCTCAAAGCCACTCCTGGAGCTGCATTGAAAGCTGGATCCGCGAGGCTCTTCTTGACTATCTCCTCTAGCGCCATCATCCTCTCCTCGTTTGGGGATAGGATTTAGGATATCGCTGTCCAAGCCTTCTTGTGGCAACTTTAGGGCATCACGGCTTCGTTAACATTATCCATTGATAAGTTCTCCTCCTCTATCTCGCCCGTCACGATTAATCTGACTTTTTTAAATAGCTTCCCTATTGTTTTTAGGTGTGATTCTTTGGTGCTATCTGAGCTCTGTTGCAGTTGTTTGTAGTGGCGGCTATCGCTTTGTTGCGACGCGTCGAAACCGCTCGATTTACCTATACCCGCTATGTTGAAGTACAGAATGTTTTTGGAATTGAAGGAAGGTGAAACATATGAGAAAATATGATTCGCGTTGTCAATTTGATGGTAAGTGCAGCGTGGAACGCTGCGCAGCTTTGGGACCAAAATGATGTTTCTTTCTCGCGGATTATATCGTAGCCGAGGGTGACTATTCTCAACGCCTGTCAGTAGTGTCCCCTACGAACCTCCAGCTCTCACTGTAGAGTCTGCAGAGCCGAGATTGAGTAACAAAGTCCTCACTTCGACGAGAATTCCCAATCGCTTTCGCCGCCTGTATCGTCTTCATCTCTCAACACATCCCCCCTATCACCATTATCATAAAGCTAACCACGATCAGATCAGATCAGATCAGATCAGATGGTAGGGTCGGAGCCCTACTCATCACCAACCCTTGATCATGAAGGAAAAGCCATCCGATGAGTTTACGGAGCGTACCCAGCACCCGATACGGAGATGGTGAATTGGATCAAGATCACCTTGATTGTTGAAAAGAAGGGATATAAAATGGATATACGTACTTCGTGTGGTCCCGGTGTCTAGGCCTCGCCTGGCTGGGGGTGCATGTTTTTTGAAAATATTTCCCGCGTACACAGTTTCCATTGCTACCATTTTTATTTTTTTGGATAGAAGGTTCCGTGGAAAAGGTGGCTGAATTCCACGGGTAAATACTGAGCTGAATGGCTATTCATCAAGGGGAATATATCGGTGATCTTTCAAGTAACAAAAGAGGATAGGAGCACTGTACAAGGTGTGGTCTGGGCTAGAGAGGAACCCAATGTGCTAGATAGTCATAAACTCAATTAGCACATTAAACATACTGCTCTCTCTTCTTCATCGTTCGAGCTACTACAGCACTTGGGACGCATATCGGACTGATCTGTACAGGATCAAGGTCGAGTGTTAGACTGAAATTATGTTGCGACACAAATTTTAGACCAGAACTACTAAAGTCTGTAAGGCTATCTAATCAACCACTGTTAAAGTTTTAAATACACAATTGCCTGTAGATCTGAATTCATAACTAGTCGATTGAGATAACATTTGGTATTGAATGCTGATAATTACGGAGGGTTTTCATTTAGAAAACATTGTCTGACTTCAAAATATTCAGAGCTTCTGAATGCCTTGAGAATTTGATTATTTCAAAGGTTAACATTGTTGCCACCCTGGCTTCCTCGACGATATCGAAATTGCCGGTAGGCGTTGGATGGTGTTCTTCTCCGTTTTGATGTGCGTGAGAGCTAGCGAGGGACAGCGATCTTAATAGATGAGCTTGTGCAGGCAATGAATTCTCCTCAAAATTTAAAATGGGGTTCTAGTGACGGTTCATGCAAGACAAGATAGGGTTGAGCTATGTGCAGATGCAGTGAGGAATGCAATAATTTATTTACCGGGGTCCGACCAAGGTCGCTTGATATGGCAGCCTTGGCCTACCACCACTTAGCGCGTTCCAAAATTCTTCCATCCTCTCTCACACTAGGGGGCTAGATTCGCTACTCGTGGGAACAACATTCAGACAACTCGATTGCGAGTAAAAAGGCTTTGCGCCGCCAATTTGATCGTCCCCTGGCGCAACTTAATAGCCTCACCTACACAAAGGTGTTCCACAACCTCCTGGAAATCTTGACACATGTTCAAACTCTTCCCACATCGGTCTCAGTTCCCAGCAACAATTAGGACATCAGCGATCAGGAAAAGAGCAACATCGCGCCAAGCCTGTTGCATCCACAAGAAAGGTGTACGATATCAATGCTAGACGCGCCTCATTGCTAAATTGAAACGCGAAATCACCTGCTTCGTTCTTTATTTTTCATTGGCACCACCACCAATCATAAATAACGTAGCAGTTTTAACTAGCAATATCGTCAACCTTTAATTGCGAGTCGAATCCTCATCAATCGTTTATGAACTCTAGAATAATTGATCTTTAGTGCAGCAGTGTTCTGGAATTTCAAGATGGCCTCAGCACAATCAACGACTGTGGCTGCACAACCGCAGCAAAATTTATCCTTGAACCTGGCAGAGATGTACAAGGAAACCTTCCAAGTAAGACGCCCAATATTGCTCCTAATATTTATCCTTAAGAATTTAAATCTAATGATCTTCAGAAATACAAGCAAATGAAGGAATCTGGCTTAACAGATAGGGACCCTGAGCTTCAACGAGTTCACTCTCAACTTTCCAACTTGAACCAACAGCGAATTTATCACCAGCAAAGAGCTACCTATCAGGCGCAGCAGCAACAGCAGCAACAACAGCAGCAGCAGAGTTCAGTAAATAACTCAAGTAGGATTAGCAATTCATCAGCCAACGCTTCGCCCGTTTCAACTCATGCCTCTCAACCCTTACCAATATGCCAACCATCAAACACCAACTCAAGTAGCACCTCAAGCAATACGAATTCCAAAGGTGGTCCACAGAAGTTGCACACAAAAACCGGAGGTTTTTTTTCGGCTGAACAACTAAGCATGCTAAAACATCAAATATTTGCATTTAAATGTCTGACCAAAAATACCGGTATACCTCTTCTAACTCAACAACAGCTATTTGGCTCGCAGATATCCGAGCTGCCCCGGAGCCCAGGAACTGACACAAACCCCCAAAAGTCAGAGGAAACTCCTAGAGTCGCAGCACTAGCCTCACCCTCAGAAGATTCAGAAAAGCAACATGAGTATGACGTATACAAGTCGCCATTTGACGCCCTTTCATCGAAGATAAATTATACTTCACACCAAAATAGAGCGGAAAGGCTGATGATTCCCAGTCTAATGCCCTCTGGAATCGATACCGAAAAACTCAGGGCAGACAGAGAAATCATAATATACAACCGAATGCAAGCTCGGTTAAGAGAACTTCAAAGCCTGCCTGCGAATATGGCTCACCTTGATTTGCGCAAAGAAGAACTTGTTGCAGAAGACACCTTGAGGAGAAAGGCCTTGATTGAGATGAAAATGTTGGGCCTGTATCAGAAACAGAAAGTTTTACGGGAGAGAATAGGCAACCAATTAATCCAGTATAACAACCTCGCTATGACAGCAAACCGTAGTCACTACCGGCGTATGAAGAAGCAATCATTGAAGGAAGCTCGTATAACCGAGAAATTGGAAAAGCAGCAGCGCGATGCCCGAGTTACTCGAGAGAAGAAGAAACATACAGACTATTTGCAAACTGTTCTGTTCCATTCCAAAGAGGTCAAAGATAGTGGCGCGAACCAAAAGTATAAACTTGCCAAACTTGGCCGCATGGTACAAGCGGCCCATCAAAATATTGAAAAAGAGGAACAAAAGAGAATAGAAAGAACTGCAAAACAGCGTCTGCAGGCCCTCAAGTCCAATGACGAAGAAGCTTACTTGGCGCTCCTCGACCAAGCAAAAGATACCCGTATCACACATCTGCTCAAACAAACTGACGGCTTCTTGGGGCAACTAGCTGCCTCGGTTAAGGAACAACAACGAAAAGCTGCTGAGCGTTACGGTGATAATATGGAGACCTTTGCTGAAGAGGAATCTGAAGAAGATGATGATGAGGAGCAAGATACTAGAAAGATTGATTACTACGCAGTCGCACACCGAATAAAGGAAGAAGTTACTCGGCAACCAGATATATTAGTTGGTGGAACTTTGAAAGAATACCAACTCAAGGGTCTCCAATGGATGATCTCTCTATATAATAACAATCTTAACGGTATTCTTGCGGATGAGATGGGTCTTGGTAAAACGATTCAAACTATCAGCTTACTGACTTACCTTGTGGAGAAAAAAAATCAATTAGGTCCCTTCCTGGTTATTGTACCCCTTAGTACTCTCACGAACTGGAATATGGAATTCGAGAAATGGGCTCCAGGTCTTCAAAAGGTTGTCTACAAAGGTCCTCCAACTGCAAGAAAACAGCAACAACAACAGCTTCGCTATGGTAGTTTCCAAGTCCTGTTGACCACCTATGAATATATTATCAAGGATCGCCCTATCCTTAGCAAAATAAAATGGATTCACATGATTATCGACGAAGGTCATCGAATGAAGAATTCTTCATCAAAGCTAAGTGCAACTTTGACCCAATACTACTCGACAAGATACCGCTTAATTCTCACTGGAACACCCCTCCAAAATAATCTCCCGGAATTGTGGGCTCTCCTCAATTTTGTGCTTCCGAATATATTCAAGTCTGTCAAGTCCTTTGACGAATGGTTTAATACCCCATTTGCCAACACAGGTAGCCAAGATAAAATGGAGCTAACGGAAGAAGAACAAATTCTCGTCATTCGACGTTTACACAAGGTGTTGCGGCCATTTTTACTTCGTCGTCTCAAGAAAGATGTCGAAAAAGACCTCCCGGATAAGACCGAAAAAGTAATTAAGTGCAAATTTTCTGCACTACAATCTCGCTTGTATAAACAGATGGTTACTCATAACAAGCTGGTCGTAAGCGACGGTAAAGGCGGAAAGACAGGAGCACGTGGCCTTAGCAATATGATTATGCAGTTAAGAAAATTGTGCAACCACCCATTCGTTTTTGACGAGGTAGAAAATCAAATGAACCCTCTTAACACTAGCAATGACTTACTATGGAGAACTTCTGGGAAATTCGAACTTCTCGATCGTATTCTGCCCAAGTATCAACGAAGTGGTCACCGGGTTCTAATGTTCTTTCAAATGACGGCAATCATGGATATTATGGAAGATTTCCTAAGATACCGGGGTATTCAGTTTCTACGATTAGACGGTACTACGAAGTCAGATGATCGTTCTGATCTATTACGTGAGTTTAATGCGCCAGACTCTCCTTACTTTATGTTTCTGCTCTCTACGCGTGCCGGTGGTCTCGGTTTAAATTTACAAACTGCCGATACTGTGATTATCTACGACTCTGATTGGAATCCACATCAAGACTTGCAAGCGCAAGATCGAGCTCATCGTATAGGTCAAAAAAATGAAGTCCGAATTCTGCGGCTAATTAGTTCAAACTCGGTTGAAGAGAAAATTCTTGAGCGTGCCAAGTTCAAGCTCGATATGGATGGCAAAGTTATCCAGGCCGGTCGATTTGATAACAAATCCTCGGAAACAGATCGGGATGCCATGTTGCGTGTCATGTTAGAAACTGCCGAGGCTGCGGAAAGTCTAGAACAAGAAGAAATGGACGACGAAGATTTAAACATGATATTAGCCCGCTCAGATAAAGAACTCGTTCTCTTCCAACAGATTGACGCCGAGAGAGCTAAGGATCCTACATACGGAAATAAACCTGGCAGTAAACGGGTACCTAGACTTATGACCGAAAGTGAGCTTCCCGAAATTTATATGTCAGATGGAAATCCAATTCCTGATGAGCCTGAGGAAGTTAAGGGCCGCGGTGCCCGGGAACGTACTCGTGTTAAATATGACGATGGCCTGACCGAAGAGCAATGGTTAAACGCAGTCGATGACGATGAAGACAGTCCTGAGGCTGCCGCTGCCCGAAAACAAGCTCGGAAGGACAGGCGTGAACGAAACAGACTACGGCGTACTGGAGAATCTTCAGGCTCAATAGAAAATTCACCTGCTGGTAGTCGTGAGAGTACCGAAGAAGCCGAACCCACGCCAAAGAAAAGTCGAGTCCGTAAGGTAGTCAAAGCTGATAAGCGAAAAGCTGATGGTCTTGATGAAGAGCCATTACATAAGAAGAGGAAGGGCCCTGTAGGACGTGTAAAAACCGCTGGATCGACCAATAGTCACATAAGTCCTAAGCAGCGCAACCTCCTCCAAATAAGCCTGCGAAATATATATGATTCTCTATTAGCTCTAGAATCTGAGTCAGGAGACGAAGAGGACGAAGAAGAAGAAGATGAAGGGAAGCGCCTAATTATCGGGCCTTTTATAAACTTACCATCAAAAAAAGACTTTTTCGACTACTACAATATTATAAAGCAACCTATTGCCATGAAGCAGATTGAGAGGAAAATAAAAAGGGAGGAGTATTCAAGCATGAATGATCTGATGCGGGACATACAGCTTCTTTGTAAAAACGCAAAGACATACAATGAGGATGGCAGCATGATCTACGTTGATGCAGTAGCAATCGAGGTATGTCTACGATACTTTATGATATATAATTCCTGACCATTTCTATAGGCAGCCTGTGCTTCTGAAATACGCAAAGAGCTTAATAGTAATCCAGAGCTTGGCGACTTGGAAGGATCATCTCGTAATACCCCGACAAGAACAAACGGAACTCTAATGAGTGCTGGGTCAGCGAGCAATCCCAAGCTTAAACTCACAATCAATAGTGTGCAGCCAGGAGGCAGTAGAACGCTGAGTGATGATGAATAAGATAATTAACGGTGTTCAGGTGAAAGGGAAATGTCATTTATACTGGAGTCTTGTATTTCCACGGCGTTGGCTACGGTAGAAGTATTGCGATGATGACTTTTTTGGGCCATGGAAGCTTAATCCTCTCTTTCTCATCCTCTCTCTGCTTTCGTTCCTCTCCAGATTCCTCGTCATACTACACGCAGAGAGACCCTACCATGGCTATCCAATTTTCACCGAAACCCACATCCCAACCGAAATGTAACTTAAATCGAAGCTTGTCCAGCTCAATGTATAATTTTGATATCTATTCGCGTTTTTGTGTGCGCAGATTTTCAGTGTAGACTTTCACTTACTACCAAATTTTATTTGCCCATCGGCTTCGCTCTAGATCTTTCGTAATATTTCTATAGAAAAAAGCTTAAACTCTATTGGCACTAGCGGGATAAACTTACAATGAACTGGGGAAAATCATTTCTAACATCTAGGATAGCGGGCTCGGCTATGTCTACTCATCGTGAGGGATCCAAGTCAAGATAGTGCAAACAGCGGAAAGTCTCGACATTCACCAGTTCTAGGACAGAAGTGATGAACCACATGATAATTGCGTTTGGTTGATACGAAGCAACAGTCTTAGCACTCTACTCTTTCCTCCCGCTCATGTCCTTGATGACAGTAGTAACATCTTTGCTGCACACCCTATCGTATTCTCGCCGGCAGGAGCTTCGTTTCGCAATGTTTGTGGAAGTCTTTTGATTCTCGGTCCCATCATTAACGCCGTTGGGTGGATGCCCTAATAGATAAAGAATTATCGACAATGCCGGTATATTACCAAATAAGCTGGCGGTCAGATGTGGATTGAGACGAGATGGATACGGTAGACATTTAATTATAGCTCCCATGACACTCGAGCAAGGGTCTCGTTATACGATGGAATCTGCACATGGAAAGTCCCTCTTGTTCCGAGATATCTTTCTCGTGGATACAAGGACTGCCTTGGTTAAGTCGATATCTTCGTTCCATGTTCCACTGTAACTTTCGCTCACTTGATCTCTTGGGGCAAAGCACGAGCAGGATCTAAGTTATATATAAATCATCATTGGAGATCTGGTGCAGTAAGTTCAATTGACTGAACCCGCCATTCGAGATAATGAGCATGACCTTCTTTTTTTCTTTTTTGTTTTTTAATTCATATGGTATTCAGCTTTTTAGCTATGACAATAAGAGCATGACCTCCTTATCCTACTTTACCACATATTTCAGGCGGCAAAAGGTCTTTCTTGGTCGTAAGTAACTTGCTCAGTCTACCTCTGTAGAGATATGTGATTCCAACGTGTTTGCTTAGAACAATACCCATACCTCCGTCACGGCTCCCATCAAGCAGTACGGCGCCTGATGAGCCTTAATTCAAAATCCCGCTTGAAGGTATCGTTTATCCTTTACTATCTACTCTCTCTAGCCGACGAAAAATATTCATCTATGGGTGTGTGGCTGCCAAAATCACTAGCTGAGGGAGTCCCTTTCCCTTTCTAGCTTGATTGTAACCCTTCTGCAATTCGCGTCGCGGGAAGATTCAAAGGTTGAGTTCCAACGCTATGGTTCCGGTCATTTAGATGGGATGAGGCACTTGTACTCCACGGTAGTCAGCCTAATTCGGTCCGACCCCACTCACGCTCAAGTTCCAGTATGCGTGCGATGAGAGTCATTTTACCTAGCACGTTAATAAACAATCAAAAAATCAATTAATCGATAATCACAACCATAACTCCATTATGTTAAGGCACAGGGAGGATTATACTTGACCAACACTCTTGTAGTTTATCTGTTTTGTCATTTAGCGTCCTTTGAAGCACTGAGCCGAAGCTTGGACCCTCTTTTAGCATCAGATTTGAATTGAATGAGCAGCTATCTAGCTATGACATAAGGTCGGAGATAAATTCAGAATTGATGATTCAATTTGAAAGAAGATTACCCAAGTCTCACATTTCAATTACAAGTACCGCTGCGAAGTTACGGCTGATTTTTCTTCACCTCTATCAGGGCATGACCCACAATATCTATTGGAAAACATTAAATAGCCTCATTTTAACATTAAATTAGTAGCCAGAATTTAGTTGGTAGATTCTAGGAGTCCTTCATAGTCTTAAACTTAGAAGGGACTATAATAAAAATCTAACTTCTTCACCCCAAGTCAACCCTCATTCGTGAATACCCACCCAGGGGAACATCTCAAAAATCCTAAGTTATCCAGACATGTTTCCATCATCCATCAACTTTTCTCCGCGAGATATGTGATCTGAGGTATTTCCTTCCCAAGTGGAATAGGTGCCCAGGCTACTCAGACTATACCGGAGAACACCACCAAGTTGCGGACCACAACACCTTCTATCGTTGACTTGTTCTTATGGTGCCAGATGTACCCCCGCAACCGAAGTCTTGGTGCACGCACAAAGCTCAATCTGTAAAACTCCTTGCCAAAATTCAAGATTACACGTCCGTCGAGATTATATCCATCCTCTGTGTCATTTTGTGAACTTGTCTTGATCCCTCTCACGTCCATTCCAAAGAACTGCCTTGCAGATTTGTGTGCCACGCTTTGCTTCCTCCGTTGGGTGTAAATATGGGCGTGGGTGTGTATTTGGTGGTCAGCTAAGGCCAGAGAAGGTCGAAGAGAGATGTGATGATTAAATGAAGGAAGAACTGGGTCATAACTGTAAGCTTGATGAGGTTTTGGTGTGGATCGATCTAGTTGGGTGGGAAAAATTAATTAGATGGAGAGTCTTGGATCATTGCCTTGTGGGCCAACTTGTTCGGTATTGCGAAATTTGGCTGAACTTGGCTCGGGGAGAATGTTTAACTCCCAGGCTCGTAGAGGAGATCGCGTTCAAGTGTTTAGATTTGACATTCCCGCAGAAACTCATCAGATGGCTGCTCTTCCAATACCATAAAGAACGAGCGTCGAGTAGGTCTTTGTCTCCGCCATCTAACCTGATCATACTGAGCCTCATGATAATGGTGCTAAGTGGTTATACTGATAGATGACGACGATACAGATCGCGAAAGCGATTGGGAATCCTCACCGAAGTGAGGACGTTCTTACTCAATCTCGGCTTTGCAAACAATACAATGGGAGCTGGAGGTTCGAAGGGGACAACAGAAACAGGTTAACATTTTTACTCTGCCTGTAACTGCAATCATTGTGTTCTGGAAGGAAAAGAACGGGGCCGTGATTATATATGGAGGATTCCGCTTCTTTACTGAAAGGGGTGAAGCGATGATTCTCGTACTTGAAAATAAATTTGCATATTTATTTATTTATATTAAGGAAATAATGACCCCTCAGTCATTGAGATTGTATATCGCGTTGATTCATTTGACTACCGAAGTGAAAGTAAGTACAGAATTTGTAGTCACGGTTGTACCAACGTGGCCTACTTGATGGTCCCAATTATTCTAAATTTTAACAGTATTATTAAAAACTTAGTCCTTGTATTGTGTAATGATCACTTTAAGGAGTTCTAATATAAAACATGGAAGGTAGACTTGTCTATGAAATCAACTCGTTTGAGGTGTAAAATAATTATCCATCAAAAACGGATCCAACACTCGAGATTTACATCTTGAGTGAGGGTCCGTGCATGCTAACAAAACAACCCAATAACCACGTGATAAACAAGCTAATTGTACAGGGTATCTTGCTCTCCGGTTCTCCTAACTCCTGGCTAATGATGACAACTCAGACCCATAATAAGGGTCATGAGGATCCTGGAATTGCAATGCATTAGACTTATTTCTCAACAAGTATGTTTATTTTTTTATTTATAATATTTGATGTCATGCCAGCGCACAGCACGTGAGCTGCTCACGTACCGGTTTTTTTTTGCATCAGATTTTAGTTGCGTATGCAGCTATCTAGCTATGGTACAATATCAAAGAAAAGTACAGAATAGATAATTCAACGTAAGGGAAGAGAACTTATGCCTCGGATTTCACTTGCAAGTACCACTGCGAAGTTATGGCGGCTTTTTCTTCACCCCAAGTCAACTCTCATCCGTGAAAATCCACCTAGGGGAACATCTCAAAAACCCTGAGTTATCCAGACATATTTCCATCATCCATCAACTTTTCTCCGCGAGATATGTGATCTGAGGTGTCTCCTTCCCAAGTGGAATAGGTGCCCAGGCTACTCAAACTATACCGGAGAACACCACCAGGTTGCGGACCACAACACCTTCCATCGTTTGCTTGCTTTTATAGTGTCAGCTGCACTCTCGCAAGCGAAGCCTTGACACACACAAAGCTCAATTCGTAAAACTCTTGCCAAAATTCGGAATCTCACGCCCTTCGAGGTTATATCCTTCCTTCGCATCATCTTTTCAACTTTTACTAATCCCTCTCATGCCTATCCCAAAGAACTGTCTCCCAGATTTGTGCGCCACGCTTTGTGTTCTCCGTCGGGTATAAATATCGGCGTGGGCGTGTATTTGGTGATCAACTGAGGCCAGAGAAGGTCGAGGAGTGGTTGTTGTGATGTGAAATCACTCAGCCAATTAGACAAGCTGTATTAGATGATATAGAGATCTATACAAGATGTGGTTGGTGTAGTGACATCATAACAGTTGCATGTGGATGGTGTGAACAAGAATGTAAACTATTATATAGCATATGATAGAATACCTTACATCACAAGACGGAATATTCTACTAGCAATTAGATAGATGAGCTTTAGGTATAAATAGGAGTATTCTCCTTCATATAGATAGTTATCATCAGGAAACGAATCTTATAAAGCGAACACATATTATCGTCCACTTCATAATAGTGTTAAGCACATATTGATAAAGCCACTGTTTGTATGCAATTCTCCTCCTCATAATCACAATAGTGGTGTGATCATTGGGATGAGGATGTACATGGTCATACTCGTAAACTTGATGAGACTTAGGTAGGCGTCAAACTCGTTGGGAGTGAAAAAGCGACGTGGTGGAGGAATTTGAATTTTTGCCTCGTGGGCCAACTTT